TGAATGCGTAAGTATCTGTGTTGCTGAATGAGAATCCAACAGTAGTATTTGTTGAAAAAATACCATTAAAGTGGCATGTAACGATTATATTTCTTTGAGACATATTTGAAGTGTAAAATCTATATTCTTCTTAATGAAATTTGGAGTTATGATACAAATAATATATGATACACACAAATATATAACACATACATAAAATATAGTGAAGAAAAAGTCCCTTTGAGCTCGCCCACTCAAAGGGTGAGCATGGTCATGTGAAGCAGTTGCTCGTCCACCCATTGGGTGAGCACACTCTTGTACATGAGCCAATTCGTCCACTCAATGGGCGAGTGAGTGATGCATGCTGAAAAAAGTGTCTTACATGCATGAGACATTGTGTAAGACATAGTCTTGCTAGCTTTGCATGCATGTCATTGTGTAAGACCTAATAACTATTTCCAAAGACATGCAAACACATAGTATTGTCACTTCATATAGTCACATTTACACTACCAAATGTAAAATATTCATCTATAAATTCGGATTTACCTCAAGCAAGTTTCTACACACAATTTTATTTCAAACACAAAGCATTATAACATTAACAAACTCTCTTGCATTTCTTAAAAATTCATGATACTCAATCAAAATGGCATTGTTGTGGATGGGCGATGAACACCGTGGAACACAACAAAACATTCAAGCTAGTGTAAGTTTTTCTCTATTCGAGTGCATTCAAAAATAATGCTTATAATTTTTTGGTTAAATATTATTTCATATAAAAAATAATGATTACAATTGTTTGGTTCAATATTATTCCAGACTAATGCAAGGTTTAGAGTGCATTCTCATGCTCCCATTCAAGCAAGTGCGAGAATAATGAAGTATCTAAAAATAGCAGGTTTTGCTCATATAGCAAAAATAAATAGTCTCAAAATCGACTCAAAGCTTAGTTGTGGCTCTGTTAGAGAAATGGAGACCAGAAACACACACTTTTCACTTCCCATCAGGTGAATGCACGATAACGCTAGAAGATGCGAATATGTTACTTGGTCTCCGAGTTGATGGAAAAGCTATCAACGGTCCTACCGAAGTGACAAATGATGTTTACATGGAAAGCTTGGGGGTGGAACCTACAGAAGTGGATAAAACAGAGGTTCTGTTAGGATCACCTGGCTAGAAAATTTATATGAAATTTTAAAAGATAACTCTGCCCCACACAACAAGAAGTTGCGTTATAAGCTAAAGTTTATATTTTACTTGTAATCGCCACTATTTTGTTTCCCGACAAGAGTCAAAATCTTTTGCATTCTTCCTGGATTCCTTTGTAGAGGATCTTGAAAAATGTGGCACCTATAGTTGGGGTTCTGCATGTCTTGCAAAACTGTACAGGAAAATATGCAAGGCAGCAGTCAAGGATGTTAGGAGCATGAGTGGTTGTGTTCTTCTACTCACTTCTTAGGCATTCACACGTATACCATTGTTTGCTCCTGTTAGTGCAGTTCAACCCTCGTATCCATACACACAAAGATATTTCTAGATTAAAACACACATTAATGTGTATTTATATATATATATATATATATATATATATATATATATATATATATATATATATATATATATATATATATATATATATATATATATATATATATATATATATATATATATATATATATATATATATATATATATATATATATATATATATATATATATATATATATATATATTTGTTATTTAACTATGCCTAACAATCTTATTATTTTTTTGTTTATGCAAGATGGGCCCAAAGACGGATGAATTACAATGCTAATCCTCATTTTCATCTACAAGGATATCGAAACGCATTGGACCATATGCAAGAAAAAGATGTAAGTTTGAAACCATAGAACATAGTTGTCGGTTATATTCCTTAATGGTATTATAATTTTCTTTTTTATGTGGCAGTTATATGGAGGTAGTACATTCAATATCCGGTGCCCAATCTTAGAGATAGCCAAATCTGGAGTGCTACAACTTTTTTTATTTGTTTCTATACCGTTGAAAGTCATCAAACGGATAGGGTAAAACTCCAGTTTGGATTTGAATAAAAAATCTCTTCCCCGCCAAGGTGTCTAAGGGAACACCACGCAATGACAATGAGAAAAGTCCAAAAAGTTCATTGGCGAGAGTTAAACAAGGAGGAGGTGAGAAAATGGAAACATAGAAGCCATTTGATTTTGCAGAGGGCGCTATAGTTGATGAACGCAAGCCAAGCCAAGAGTATTTAACTTGGTTTCGTGTCATTCCTTATGTGCATATTGCTCCAGGCCAATTTTTGACTGACCCACACATGCAAGGTTCATCATCAACACAACCAACTGCCGCATCAATGCATCGGGATGTGCCACCAAACTACACATCTTAATTTGGGGGGCACGCATCTTCATCAGCTCATCATACATACCGACACCAAACTCCCTACAATACACTACCTCAACAAAACTATAACTACAACTACAACCAACAATATCAACCCCAACCCTACCTTCGACCACCCTTACAGTTCACTCCAGTCCCACCGCCCAACTTTGATCAGACAAACCCCCAATTTCAATATCAAACCTTCAACACTTCATTCTCTCAACCCACCTCTACCTTCACGCCTGATGACGTCTACTACCCAACCCTCCAACAAACCCAACCCAAAACCTACCCACGACCACCGCAACCATTCCAATCATTCCAAAATTTTTTGCTGACAGAGGATCAACCGATGCAAATGTCAGATTTTAACATTGATGATATTCTCGCTGAGCAACCATCAACACAAGCAAAACCCTCTTCAAGGCAAGCAGACCCCCCTACAACACATCACAATGAAGACATGTCTTTCGACTCATCTCAATCACCAACAACAAATGCAAATGAACGTTTAGGCAGGAGATTTCGACAAAGAAGGACCACTAGGTGTGGAACTGGGAGCCATTTTTGATCAAATGTATATGTAACATGTATTTTTGTTTAATATATTTTATTGTTGTATTTAATTAGTACAATAAATTTTTATTTATTATTATGATATATTTTATTTTTTATTTAATTATTATATTAAAACAACATAAAATATTTTAATCTTATAATGTAATTTTAATTAGTATTTATTTATTAAATTAATAAAGTATAATATTTTTTATTATTATAATATATTATTAATTAATATTTTATTATTAAATTAGTATAACATATTTTATAATATAACTTTTATTATTAAAACTAGCGTTCAGACGGGCACTCGCGTGTTCGTCTGTCTGCTTTTTTAATGCACACACGTAAAAACTTAAATGATATTTTTTTTATATAGTATTAATTTTTAAAGGAAGTTATGTAGAAAATTAATAATAGAAAGTTGGATAGGAAGTTAATAGTGAGAAATTATGTGAAAAACTCTAGTAGTAGTTTCAATAGAAGTTATTGTGTAAAGTAAGGGTAAAATTGGTAGAAAAATAGGCTACACCAAACAACCATGTTTTTACCTTTATATATGTTATAGATTATTAAAGATTTGATTAAATAAATAAAATAAAATAAAATAAAAAACATCATTCACGTGTTCGCCATCGTATTGGGCGAGCACCTACGCAACAAGCATTTTCTTCACCTGCTCGCCACTTCAGTGGACAAGTAGGTTTTTAATGTAGGACAATTTTGCTATTTTTTTTCAACATAGGGTATATTGATATTATTGATTTTAAAATGGGGTATTGGGATAAAAAAAAAACCTTATAAGTAATGATTTTAATTTATTCAAAAGGCCTCACTTAGATTATTTTGATTTTTTTTTTTGTAAATTACAAATATTTTATGCAATTTTAGGTATTATCGTGATGTAATTTTATTTCATTTTTAACTTGTCTATGATCAATTTTATCATATATTTATATATTTAATGTTTAAAAAAATAGTCGTAGTAAGTTAAAATATTTATTAAGAAAAATTGTATCACACAATTTATAATTATATAAAAAAAGGAAAACAAAAAAGATAATTCATTATCTAAGTCAATCCCACCTAGGGCTGGAAATGAGTCGAGTCTCGAGTCGAACTCACCTCAGCTCGGCTCGGCTCGTTAAAAATTATTCGAGTTCGACACGAACTTTTTTTTAAGCTCAAACTCGATTCGTTATAAGTTCACGAACCTTTCGGTTCAACTCGTTAGGTTCATTTCATTAGGTTCAGCTCACATGATTCACGAACTTAAAAACTATTTTTTTAAATATTTATATTTTTTAGTATATTTGACATTTTAAATAAATATATATTTTTTAAATAAAATATTAAAATAAAATAAAAGTTATCATATTGAAATTTAACTTTATCTTCGAAATCTACTAATTCAAAACCTACACAATTTTCAAGAGATACATTTGAGAGTCTAATTCAAAAACTACTAAATTGAAGATTAAATTTGTCTAAGATTTGGAGTAAATATTTAAACCTAATCTTAAAGACAGTATAATTATTCTGATCGAGTTGACTCATAAACCTAACGAGTCGAACTATGTATAGTTAAGTTCAGCTCATTTAGTTAACGAACTTAATCTTTCGCTCATACTCAACTCATTTGATTCATTAACCTAGTTCAACGATTTAATTGTCGAATCGAATCCGAACTATTTTCGAGTTGGTTCGATTCATTGTCAGCCCTAATCCCACCCATTTGTAGTTTTATCCAAAACAATTCAATAATACAAATCGATCAATCCTATATGGATAGTGTCATAATTTTAGCTAAATTCAATTAAACCGATGTACATCCTTAATACCATAATCATTGTGGGTTAGAACTTAGAAGTGAAATAAAATAAAATTTTATGAATAGAAATTGTTGACGTTAACAAATACAGTAGATAATATATATCATCAATCTTTCTTAAAAATAAAAATAAAACCGCGCGGGTTGATATTCTAATTACCAATGGCAATAACAATAACAATAAAACTCCATACAAAGAAACAACTTAATGGCAATTAGTTTACAGAGTTAAAGTGCCACCTCCTGTTTGAAGTTTCGCAGCAACAATCTCCGCACCATTTTCAATATTCAACTGAAATCACATTAAAATGTCAAAATACAACTATAAGTGAGAGAAATTGTGAAAATTTTATTAAGAAAGAGAGTAACCATTTTTGGTGTTTGACGTTCCCCTCTAATCCTCTGACCATCATCCAGCATAAAATGCATGCTATGATATTCCAACTCCATCTCTTCACAGTATTTCCTAAATGCTCTTACCAAAAGCTTTTCTTGGTTCACTTTGAAAAACAACTCTCTTCCATCCTGCATTTCAATTAAATAACTAAATAACAACAAAACCAAATCCAAAATACTTTAAGTAATAAAATAACAGCAATATATACCAAGCCTTTGATTGAAAATTTGACATAAATAATGCCATCATCTGAGGACTTTCCTTTACAACCCAACTTATCATCATTTGAAGCCATATTTGCTCAAGATACAAAAAAGTTTGAGTAAAAGAATAAATAAACCCTTGTGCTTTCAGCGTGGGGACATTATAGTAATTGTTTATGAGATTTTACGTCAAAAATAGTAAATGACATATGCTTACTTGCATGACAAGCTCAAGTAACAAGTGACTTCACGTGAAGAGTGCCATTTTCTGTATTCAATTTTCCTGAAATGACAAGAAAATGCAGTAGTTGATGGGAATTGGATTCCATGCATGGGGAAGGAAAAAAATTGTCATTCATGGTGAAGTTTGAGTTTCATGTGTCAGTGTTCGAATAATGTGATGTTGAATAAAAAAAATTAAAATAGATAGAATGGGCTTAATAAACAAACAAAGAGGTCTCAATTATTTTTGTTTGTTTTGCTTTTGTAAGTTTTTATCTATATTTTTGCATAGTTTTAAAATATTCGATACAAATGTATATATCATATGTATTTTTATCAGATTTTTAAAAGATGGATGTCAAATAATTTGTTTTTTTATCGCATTGTCCAAAAAATATAATATACATCTATATGGTTATACCGATATTTTAAAAAAAAAATTGGTATAAATGTTACGGTTTATACTGGTTTATTCAAAATATTAGTTGAAAAAGTAAGGGTTTAAAAAATCTAGTAGTTTTGTGGGTAACTCCTGTTATTTTTAAAATTATGTAGGTAATTTTCTTTTTTTTGGTTTTGTTTTCAAGTGAGACAAAGAGAAAGAGAAGGTAAAATCATATGGAGGTTGATCGATAAACCTATTAGAAATGTTACATAGAGCTTTGATGAAGGTGGTGCATATGATGGTGATGGTCATATGCACACTAGGGCAGGTAAAATAGTTTTCATCGGTTCTCAGGGCAGGAGGATCGAAAAGACTTATAGATCACATACTCTTTGTTGTAGGGGAATTAGAGTCTGTCTCTTTAAAGGTGGCGATGAAGAGGCATAAGTTGTTGTGACCAATTATATGTTAAGCCAGCTGCGCATGGGGAAGTGCCTAAACATATTGATATAGGTGAGATCACGATGGTTTGGCATATGACGAATTTTCGAGAGGGTCCTCCAACCTTACATTGCTCATAAGTTTTGTCGTTGGGTTTAGAATATGACAATGAGAGGTATAAATAATTTAGTTTAAATTGATTTTATGTATTATTGTTAGGAGGTTTCACTCATAGTTTAAAGCTTAAGAAATTCTCAGCAATTCTAATGCTAGTAGAGGTTAGGATACTGGTAGATGAATACGTCATAGATATTGAATAGAAAATTTTATAAATTCATTTTAATCCCCTTTGAGAAAACATAGTTTAGGAACCTTTTACAATTTGAATACATTTAAAGGTTAAGAGGTATTAATTTAAAATTTTCAGTGATAAAATGCTAGATTTGATTTTAGTGGAGTTTTAGAAAATAAATTTGACTTGATATGATATATTTCTTTGATTTTACCAAAGCATAACTAAATATTTTATCTTATATAATAACTATTTAAAATTAATTAACTTTAAATATATATAACTATTATATTAATAAAGAGATATGGTAATTGAAATCTGATCTGACCTGATCAGAAGGGGATCACTGGCTGACCACACTCTGTTGGACTGTTACCTGTTCACCAGTGTTGAGAAGGAGGAGGGGGTGTACCTGCAAGACACTCCGATGACAAAGTAAGAGAATGGACAGAGTGACAGCAAATACAGAAAAAGGTAGAGAATTGAATACCTGACCCTCTTGGGGAAGAGGGTATTTATAGAGAGACCCCAGCGCTGGGCCAACGATCACTTGTGTTGGGTTGGATTGTCAGGCCCAACCCAGGTGACTGTTAGGGCGTACGTGGCGTAGTGAAGACCAACACGTGGTCGTCACCCTAGTTCAACTGTCCCATGATCTTCGGAAGGTGGGTTGACCAGCTCTTTCGGAAGTGGGCAGTTGCGTGATGACGTGTTCCCACGGAGGGGAGTATGTGGAGAACGTATGGAGTACACGTCTTTCTGCCCGACAAGGAAAGTGTTATGTCCGGCAGGGCAATGCCTGATCGACGGGAGCCTTGTGCTCGACACAGAGAAGGAAGGCTCTTTTTGGGCCTTTCCCCAAGTATAGGTGGGCTGAGCCTTCCCAGTCGAGTCGGAGCCCAGACCAGAACAAAATCTATCAATAAAATATATGCACAAAAAATACTCGCATTATTGCTACTTTTACTTCCTTATAAAACTTGCCCAGTAATAATGTCTTTTTTTTTAATAGTGTACTTATTATTTTATTTTATTTTTATATTTGTAACACCTCAAATAATATACATTTTAGAATCACAGTATTCAAAGCGTTAATCCATAATACTGAATATAATAATAGTGTCTAGATGACATTGGATACAAGTATGACACTAGGTCTGGAATATACACTATGCCAAAAAAGACCTTTAGCAGCGCTTTTTTTTGCCTTTAGCAGCGCTGCCTAAAGTGGCGCTGCTAAAGGTAAAGACAGCGCTTTTTTTTTGCCTTTAGCAACGCTTTTTTTTCCTTATCATTTCAACATTACCTGCAACAGTGGGTTCCTCTCTCAAGAGAGCACCGTGGCCAAAGTGATTCGCGATTTGAGTAATCATACCGCCTACACTTATTTCGCCTGAAGGTGCATTCGCAACCCTCTTCAGGTGATCAGCTGCAAAGGCCGCTACATTAATGAGTTCTTGATTTGCCATGCCGTACATGAAGTACAACTCCCTCTGAGTCGCCACTCCAGTGCTGTCTCCCCTGCCGAACAGTGTATATGCCAATCCCTTTTGAGCGTACCTGAAACAAGGGTTATGGATACAAGAGGCTTTTGCCGCTTTCGCGACATAATCAGTTCTGCCTGTAATAGCCTTCCAGAAGTCCCCTGCACTAAAATTTCCCGGAGGGGCTCCGGGACCAAAATTGGGGAGCTTCAGAATATCTCCCAACTCGGCTATGGTCAGGCTATGGTCAGTATCAAATAACCTGAACCTCAGTGTACCATAATATTCTTCCTCCACCCCTGTCCACCTGTGCTTCAACTGAAATTCTAAAGTGCTCAAGAATTCAACAGTTATGCGCTCATAAGTTGGCGCTTCTAATTGCATAAATTCTAACATCCCCAGGGTGTGAAACATCCTATGAACCTCTATTCTCAGCCCTAGATTATCAAGCGTAGTGTTACAGATATACCTTGTAGGCGCGAGCTTACGCTTGATGATGTTCGAGTACTTTTTCTGATGATCCGGGTCTTCAAAGAGTATGCCGTGAGGGTTCACCATACGGTGTGCTCTCTTTCTGGGGCGCGAAGTTTCCGCCACTGCTTTTCCGGTATCTCTACGAGGAGGCATTCTTAACCTGCAAAACACAAACAACAAAGATGGTTCGAAAACTTTCGAAATCACTGTTAGTGAAAAACGCAACCGTAGAATTAATCACAATGATGAGTAGAATGTTTTTTGTGAAGGACGGAAGTGGTTCCGGTGAGTGGGTGTGGTAGATAATGAAGCTTTTGTGGAGAGAGGGTTATGGAGGTTAAGGGTTTTGTGAGGGAGAAGAAGGAGGAAGATGAAAAATGATATGAATTGTGTGGTAGGTAATGATAAGTGGGGGTTAAAGTGGTGGGTCCCACGGGGTAAAAATTGAAAAATCTGACCGCGCCTTGCAACACGGGCCGTGTTGCACAACACGGGCACCCGTGTTGCTCCTCCTGTAGCATATATTTTTTTTCAAAGTTACGCCTCTGCAACACGGGTCGTGTTGCACAACACGGGCACCCGTGTTGCTCCACTGCTCCACCTTTTTCCAATTTCTCATCTCTGTTATGCTGGGCCTGACACGGCCCGTGTTGTACAACACGACCACCCGTGTCAGGGTGCTGTTTTTCAACTTTTTCCTCTCCTCCGGTCTCCGACATTCTTCTTTCACCGATGAACTGCGAGTTGATCAAAACCTGTTAAAACAAAAACAAAATGAAAGCGTGAATGTGAAATACGTGGGTTGCCTCCCACGAAGCGCTTTGTTTTACGTCGCCTGGCTCGACGGCCCGTCATCGTATCATGTGAGATGAACGACATCGTTTCGATCTTTCTGCTGTCCCTCGTAGTAAGGTTTCAGACGCTGACCATTTACTTTAAAAATGTCTCCATTTGCTGGATTTTTCAGCTCGACTGCTCCGTGCGGAAACGTCTTATGTACTACAAATGGTCCCGACCATTTTGATTTAAGCTTTCCCGGAAATAGTTTCAGTCGGGAGTTGTACAACAGTACTAATTGTCCTTCCCGAAATTCTTTCTTCTGAGTACGTCGATCATGCCATTTCTTTGCTTGATCCTTGTACATTTTTGCATTCTCATATGCCCGGTTCCTGAATTCCTCTAGCTCATGGAGTTTGAGGGTTCTGGACTCTCCTGCTCTGGTGAGGTCTAGGTTAAGAACTTTTGATGCCCATAATGCCTTGTGTTCTAACTCTAGAGGCAGATGGCAAGCTTTACCATAGACCAGTTGGTAAGGGGACATACCAATGGGTGTTTTGTATGCAGTGCGATACGCCCAGAGAGCGTCGTCCAGCTTTACTGCCCAGTCCTTACGGGATGCACGCACTGTTTTCTCTAATATCTGTTTGAGTTGTCGATTTGACACCTCGGCTTGCCCGTTGGTTTGAGGATGGTACGGAGTAGATATTTTGTGCTTCACATTATACTTAAGGAGTAGCTTTTCCATGAGATGATTTAGGAAATGAGTTCCTTCATCACTTATAAGGGCCCTTGGTACTCCAAACCGCGAAAATATGTTCTCCTTCAGAAATCTGACCACTACTTTAGCATCATTTGTTGGTAGTGCCACTGCTTCTACCCATTTTGAAACATAATCAACTGCTACCAGTATATAGTGTTTTCCAAATGATGGTGGGAATGGTCCCATAAAATCAATCCCCCAAACATCAAACAACTCTACTTCTAACATGGAATTCTGCGACATCTGGTTTCTTT